CCCCAAAACCCCAAAACCCCAAAACCCCAAAACCCCAGGTTGTAATATTAGGGTTGAAATTATAGTTTTCTCTGTGTTAAGGAGTCAATATTTGGTTTGATTATAAGCTTAATAGTTTTTGGATAATGAAGTTTTCTTTGATTTGAGATGTGCAAAGAGAAGTAGAAATACTACTGAGAGCAGGCCTAGTGTTAAGCCAATGTGCTGCATCAAATTTGGAAATCTATATCAGAAGAGTACTGAGATAAGTCAGGATAGAAGATTTGAAATAGCTCGAAATGAAATAATAAGATAAAGAATATGCTCCAAATTTTCTATTTTCTGATTATTATTGGACAGAAGATTTAGACTCAAAAAATATACAAAGCTTTCGGTTGAGAAGTATAAAATTACGATCCTTTTACATTCAGGATTTACACGATAAATGCTTACCTTCCGAAAATGATGACATCCATTATTGTCTGAAGTATGGTTTTGATTTCTATTAATCAGTCAGCCACTCCTGCTTTGCCTCTGACGTTCACGTAAGCCACAATATAATTACTAAGACTATACAGCAACCCTCCAAAAATCCCAACTCCAAGTTCAAACCAAGTAAATCCAAGTCCTTCAAGCCATCCCCAATAAAGCAACACTCCAAAATACACTCAAAACCCTACTTCCATTACAACATTGGCAAAATTAAACAGGGCTGAAAAGTTGACCTCCTTCGAGGCCCCGAACATATACTTCAAAACTGCCGCTCTCACCGAGAGAAGTGATAAAGAGATTACTAGTAAAATTCAGCTGAGAGCAACGTAGAACTGGGCAGTTCTCCCTGCTGTTACTTGAATATTATCTCCTGAAACCACAATAGTAACTACTGAAACTGTCATCAAAAGAACACAAAGAGTTTCGTACCATTCCAGTGCTTGTTGAAACATAAAGTAGAACATTATAGATGTCACAATAGCTCTGGATATTGATAAGGCATTAAGAATTCCACTGTTAATATTCCCAATAGTACCCAGATAATAAGACATGAAGAATAGCATAATATAAATCACTGTTATGAGCGTGATTATAAATGTAGTAAAGATTCTGTCCCAGCGAACCTTGTTTTTCCATTTATTTTCAATTATTCTACCTTGTTCATCTTGCTCTCTTACAAAGTAAATATCATGAAACCACTTGTACCATGGATTCTGAATGATATCAACAGAATCTGATCTCAAAGGGGTCTTCTTATGTCTAATATGAACAGAGAGAATAATCAATGGAATTAGGTTGCCAAATAAACCTCCTATTCCTTGTATACCAGCCACCATTATCCCAAATCTTGCTAAATAAGACATACAAATGTTTCCAACTGCATAGAAGAAGCCAACAAGAAGGGACAAGGTCATCCATACTTTAGCACTGACCTCTCCCTTATCATCTTTCCTCAACAGCCCTTCAGTCTCATCTTTCTCTAACTCCTGTGTTTCCAAAGAGCCCAACCCCCTTTCCTTCACATAAACACTCTTCAGTTTCAAAGCCATTATTCCCAAGTCTCAATTTATTTTATTACAATACCACTAAGCTTTTTAGGGGTTTTGGGGTTTTGGGGTTTTGGGGTTTTGGGG